GGGGGCGCTGACGGGATCAGACTCTGTCTCAGCTTCAGGAGCAGCTGCACGTGGAGTTTCTGGCTGTTTTCTCTGAGAGCTCAGGGCTTCCTCTCTGACAACAGTCTCTCCAGAGTCTCCAGACCTGTGGCTCTTTACCTACCCCCGATGGGTCTGCATTTAAAGTATTTGTTAGTTTAGTAGAGACATTCTCACGTGCAGAAAGGGAGTGTATCACTTGTGGGGGAAGAAAATTGCAGAGGGTTGGTGAGCCAGGGCAAATCGTCAGCCCACAATCAAAGTCGCCCCCGAAAAGTGGGACTTGCCTAAAGCTCCCTGCACTTCAGGACCTCCCAACAAATGGGTCACAGATTTCTTCACTCTGTGTTCCCTTCAGATGACGCCTGGGTCTCCCAGCCATGGCCCTGCTTTAATGCCAANGTTCCCTTCAGATGACGCCTGGGTCTCCCAGCCATGGCCCTGCCTTAGTGCCAATGCCGAGCTCAGCCATGGTCTGGGGGACGGGCACAGCTGTGTCTGCAGCACAAACCACCTTGGGTTTCAGAGACCAGCAGCTGAGACATGTTCTCTGTGTTCCCTGGAGATAGAGTTCAGGGAGGTGCATTCTCAGGACTAAGTCATTTTATGAAACCTCTGTAAGAAAGTGTGGTTTTAGTTCATTCTTTTGGATGGCACATGAAATACGCACATGGTCTGCAAACAACTGTAATTTTCACACTGATCCCAAATACATTGTCCCTTAACTCTGTGGGTGTCCTGGCTGAGTGTTGCCTCTCACAGGAAGAATTGTTAAATGAGCTGAGAAGACTTGTTCCATTTCAATCAGGTNTAATTGAAGTATTAATCTAAACCTGTCAACGAGAAAAGCCCATGTTCAAGTGGATACAAGGGTAAATTCTAGCAAAATTTCACAAAACAAATAGTATAGTCTCAGTCAATTCTTCTCAAACATGTCCAAGACTTTCAAGAAGACAAAAGTCTTTCGAATTATTTTATTCAGGTGACCACTACACTCCTACCAAAGCCAAATAAGAGCAATCAAAAAATGACAGGTCATGTCTCCAATGAGCATAAATGCAAAAATCCTCAGTGATACTAGGAAACTCAACAGGCCTTTGGCGGGTCATTCACCATGATCAGTGCGTCATCCTCTGGAAGGCTAGGACGGTGCAGCCCCTGGAACCAGTAAATTGCCACAGCTCATCCCCAGCATGAAGGACTAACTGTATCGGCATATAAACAAATGGCAAAGGACTATATTAAAACCTCCTTATGATCAAAATTCTCAATGTGTTACATAGAGAAGTGAGGAACCTCCGTATAGTAAATGGTACATTGGAAAAGAAAACAGTTAGCATTGTGCTCCACAGAGAAAATTTCAAAGCAATTCTTGTAACATGAAGAGCAACACAAGGGCACCCCAGTAACTGCTTCTATTCCACAAGCTGCACATCGTGGTCAGAATAATTAGATTTTAAAAAAGTAGAATAGAAAGTGTCTAAATCAGAGAGGAGAAGAACAAAATATCACTTCCTATCTGTATGCAGACGACATGATCTTCTATATAGAAAACCCTGGAGACGGCACCAGGAGATTCACAGAACTAGAGAGTGAGCCCAGGAGAGATGGGAGGTAGGAGGTCAGCACACACGGGACTGGTGCCCTGCACACTCCCCACAGTGTCTCCTGACTCTAGGGAACGTGTGGGGCTATTTCAGAGGAAAGTGAGGAGAGGAAACTTGAACCCATCACACAACAAGGAGAGTCAGAGCAGAATGGAGCAGGAACCCTGGGTGGTGTGTCCTCAGTCTGGGTTACGTCCCCCATTCGTGATCCCAGGTGGCTTCCCCAGTGTTGCCCTGAGTCAGGCCCCTGTTCCAGTTCCCTCCCATCATGTGGGGACATGGAGACAGGGTTCCCCGGACCCCATGCAGACAGCAGGGTTTCCAGCAACAACACTCTCATTGCTCACAAATCATTACCCACATCTTCACCCAAACACACCTGTCATGACGCAGCTACTTCTCCATCCCCAGGGAAGGAAACTGGTTCCCATCAGGGTCCAGAGGAGAAACACAGCACATGAGGCAGTGCAGCTGCTACAGTCAGCAGCGACCCCTGAAGGTCATGTCCCGGGGGCTCTGCCTGTGTCTCTATGGCTCATGCTTCTGTGTCCCAGGGGCCCACACAGACCCTCCACTCTCCCCAGCACTTGTCCACGGGCTCTGGGTTCACACTCTGGTCTTGATTCATCCTCTGAACACTTTCTAGGGAAATAGTGTTAGATGGAGCTCCCGTCCCCTGAACATGAGCCTCCTGCACTTTTAATTCTTCCTGTGGCTGTGAGGGTTGATTTCTCTTGTGCCATGACTGTTGAGTCTGAAATGCATCTCCCTTTTTTTATATATACACATCTTTATCAATTTTAGAGAGAAGAAGGGAGAGGGAGAGAAAGGTAGAAACATCAATGATGTCAAACTCCGCATTGATCGGCAGCCTCCTGCATGTCCCCAACTGGGGATCCACCACACAATCCCGGCCTGTCCCCTGAACTGGAATTAAACTGCGATCTACAGGATTCTAGGACAAGGCTCAACCACTCAGCCACGCTCACCCTGGCAGCATCTCTCATGTTGAACGCCTCTTATTTTCATTTTATGACAATATTTTCCAGAGTCCTGTAACAGGGCACCCGGAGCATTTGCATGCAGTGTGGAGGTCACAGGACAAGATATGGTGAATAATTTCACAGACATGGACATTTAGACATGTCACACACTAAGACCATGTCCTTATTGACAGTGTCCAACCCCAGAGCTCCCTATATAGTGGGGCGACATGCATATAGGGCCCCTCTGATCATAAAAANCATGCAAATAGGGCCCCCTCTGCTCATAAAAACCAGCCCAGCCCCGACCCTGCAGCTCTGGGACAGGAGCCCAGCCCCGGGATCCCCAGCTGTTCTCATTCCCTGATCAGGACAGAACACAGACCACTCACCATGGGGCTTGGGCTCAGCTGGGTTTTCCTTGTTGCTATTTTAAGAGGTAATTTATGCAGAACAAGAGACACTGAGTGTGTGAGTGGACATGAGTGAGAGAATCAGTGGACGTGTGAGAGTTTCCTGACCAGGACGTCTCTGTGTTTGCAGGTGTCCAGGGTGAGGTGCAGCTGGTGGAGTCTGGGGGAGCCGTGGTGAAGCCTGGGGGGTCTCTGAGACTCTCCTGTGCAGCCTCTGGATTCACCTTCAGTAGCTATGACATGAGCTGGGTCCGCCAGGCTCCACGGAAAGGGCTGGAGTGGGTAGGTCTAATTTATCCTGATGGAAGTAGCACATATTATGCAGACTCTGTCAAGGGTCGATTCACCATCTCCAGAGACAACGCCAAGAAGACGCTGTATCTGCAAATGAACAGCCTGAAATCTGAGGACTCGGCCGTGTATTTCTGTACAGACACACAGTGAGGGGAGGTCAGTGTGAGCCAGACACAAACCTCCCTGCAGGAGACAGGAGGCTGGGCTGCTGGGGGCCCCCAAGACACCAGGGGGCGCTCACGGCCTCAGACTCTGTCTCAGCTTCAGGAGAAGCTGCAGGTGGAGTTTCTGGCTGTTTCCTCTGAGGACTCAGGGCTTCCTCTCCCCACAACAGTCTCTCCAGAGTCTCCAGACGTGTGGCCTTGTGCCTACCCCAGATGGGTCTGCATTTAAAGTATTTATTAGTTTAGTAGAAACATTCTCACATGCAGAAAGGGAGTGTATCACTTATGGGGGAGAAAATTGCAGAGGGGTTGGTAAGCCGGGGAAACCATCAGAACCACAATCAAAGTCTGTCCATGAAACGTGGGGTATGCTTAAAGCTGCCTGCACTTCAGGACCTCCCAACAAATGGGTCACAGATTTCTTCCCTCTGTGGTCCCTTCAGATGACGCCTGGGTCTCCCAGCCATGGCCCTGCCTTAGTGTCCCTGCTGAGCTCTGCCATGGTCTGGGGGTCGGGCACAGCTGTGTCTGCAGCACAAACCACCTTGGATTTCAGAGACCAGAAGCTGGGACATGTTCTCTGTGCTCCCTGGAGATGGAGGCCAGGGAGGTGCATTCTCAGGACTAAGTCATTTTATGAAATCTCTGTAAGTAAGTGTGGTTTTAGTTCATTCTCTTGCATGGCATATGAAACAAGCATGTGGTCTGCTAACAAGTGTAATTTTCACATTGATCCCAAATACATTGTCCCTTAACTCTGTGGGTGTCCTTGCTGAGTGTTGCCTCTCACAGGAGGAATTGTTAAATGAGCTTAGGAGACTTGTTCCCATTTCCATCTGGTTCCCTCCATGCCGAGAAATCTTGAGGGGAATCACTTTGTCCCCTCTTCAGAAAATCCCTCCACCTTCAGGGGGAAGAGAAGACATGCATTTGCTGAGTCTCAGGTAGGAGCTGGTCCTGCCCACCTCAGAGCCTGCAGAGACCAGCCCCTGGCTGCAGTTCACAGAGGCAGGTCTTTCCCTGGATGGGGACCTCTAGATGCTCCCCTGTAGGTTCATGTTGCTCAGGTTGACGTGAGGGGTGCAGACTTAGGACACCTGTTAGGGGGTCACTGCTCCGTCCAGGGGTGTGCATGTGGGAATTACAATTACCCTGTGAAGATCAACAGTTGTGTTTCTCTGTCCATTATTTTGTTGCTTAAATTAAGAATTTACCCTGACATTCCTAGATGTGTTTGTATTTATTTAAATGATTGAAGTATTAATCCAAACCTGTCCACAAGAAAACCCATGTTCAAGTGTCTACAAGGGTAAATTCTAGCAAAATTTCACAAAACAAATAGTATTGTCCCAATCGCTTCTTCTCAAACACGTCCAGGATTTCAAGAAGAAAAAAGACATTGAAACTCATTTATTGATGTGACCACTTAACTCATACTAAAGGCAAATAAGAACAGTAAAAAGAGAAAGACCATGTCTCTGAGGAGCATAAATGCAAAACTCTTCAATGATACTAGGAATCTCAACAGCCCTTTGGCGGGTCGTTCACCATGATCAGTGAGCCCTCCCCCAGGAAGGCAAGGACGGTTCAACCCAGGGAACCAGTAAATTGCCACAGCTCATCCCCAGCCTGAAGGACTAACTGTATCAGCATATAAATAAATGGCAATGGACTATATTAAAACCTCTTTATGATCAAAATTTACAATGTGTTACATAGAGAAGTGAGAAACCTCCATATACTAAATGGTACATTGGAAAAGAAAACAGTTAGCATTGTGCTCCACAGAGAAAATTTCAAACCAATTCTTGGAACATGAAGACAAATACAAGGGCACCCGAGTAACTGCTTCTATTCCACAGAACTGGACTTCGTTGTCAGAATAATTAGGCAAAAAAATAGAATAGAAAGTGTCTAAATCAGAGAAGAGAAGAACAAATTATCTCATCCCATCTGCATGCAGACTACATGATCTTCTATACAGAAAACCCTGGAGACGGCACCAGGAGATTCACAGAACTAGAGAGTGAGCCCAGGAGAGATGGGAGCTACGAGGTCAGCACACACGGGGCTGGTGCCCTGCACACTCCCCACAGTGTCTCATGACTCTAGGGAACGTGTGGGGCTATTTCAGAGGAAAGTGAGGAGAGGAAACTTGAACTGGTCACAAAACAAGGAGAGTCAGAGCCGAATGGAGCAGGAACCCTGGGTGGTGTGTCCTCAGTCTGGGTTACGTCCCCCATTCGTGATCCCAGCTGACTTCTCCAATGTTGCCCTGAGTCAGGCCCCTGTTCCAGTTCCCTCCCATCATGTGGGAACATGGAGACAGGGTTCCCCGGGTCCCACGCAGACAGCAAGGTTTCCAGCAACACCATTTCATAGCCTACACCTAAGTCCCCCAAATCTTTACCTACATCTTAATAACACAACTCTTGGTTTTGATTCACTTTCATCTATACCCACAGTGTCTGAATCTGACTTTCCTGTTTCTCTGTGTTGTTCAAGCTTCTGGGTCCCCGTGACACACCCAGACCCTCACTCTCCCCAGCACTTGTCCACTTTCTGCAGCTTCACACTCTGTTATTCTTCTCACTCTGAGCTCATTTGACCACATCAGCGGTTGGGTGGAACATGACCGTCCCCCACTGTAGTCACCCTCTGGGTGTGATGGGTGATCCCCTTGATGTGAGGACCCAGGGAACCTTCCAAAGTATCATATTTAAATCTCCACCCTTCCTCTCATTTTTCAACTCCGTTAATTTTCCTGCTGGGCTGTCACTTGATGGCATTAGCGCAGGCTCTCATCCCACAGGTAGTGCTGACACCCCCACCCAGATCCAAAGACAAGTCCTGTCCTATGGGGAGTTTCCCAGCAGCCTCTACCCTGGTACCAGAACCTGCTCCGGCCCCCGTGGCTGCTGTAGAAAACCAACATGGACAGTGGGGCTCAGCACTATCTAGTGTGTTCTCTGTAAAAACTTCCAAAATAAGACACATTAAAAAATATTTAAACATTAGCCCATGTTAAAATATCATCCATTTTCCCACTAAACACTCTATTGACCAACTGAAAAGACAATCGTAAATATAAAGAATATATTTCCAAATCCCGTGTCTGGTGGGTGAATGTGGTCATTACACCCTAAGGACTTTGTATGTTATGGGAGAGAGACCAGCATCCTGTGAGCACAGTGACCATCCCCAGGGGCAGGACAGAGGGAGGCTGGGAGGGAGGGTCACCTGGCAGGGTTGAAGTTCCCTTTCCTGTGAGAAGATCTATGAGAGGAATTCTCCCCATTTCCCTCACTCTGAACCCCGACATCACTGACAACACTAGGCTGAGAAATCAGGTCCTTCTCCTCCATAATCATTTCAACACATGAGTTATTCTGAGTTGCACACATTCATAGTCACTGTTTTCATTTCTTCTCTCTTCTCCACCTAAAACCATGACCTATTCTGACGTAACTAGTTGGGGGTCTCAACCATCGGCCGTGGGCTTGCATAAGGGAGAAGTTTGCACAGGAAGCTCTGGACACAACGACAGAATTTCCAACAGGAAGAAGCAGAATCTCCCTCCTGCCTGTGCCTGGGAGGGAGATTTTCAGATCAAAGTAACGTCATAAATTAATACTGAAGATATTGATAATGGATAGCCTTTATCTTTTAAGTTGCCAAAAAACTAAAAGTTATTACAGGAAAATGTGAAATAAAATTTTTGATATTGTGGATATACTAGTGTTGTGATTCAGAAAGTTTCTCAAGAAATCGAATCCCTCTGAAATCTGTTTTCAAGATGCAGAGGTTAAAAGTGTGACCTACTCATCTAGTCTCTGATTCTTCTTAATGCTGAGAAGGTGAGTCCGTCCTTTGACCTCATTACAATGAGCCTCATGAACCAGATGACCACTGTCTCTGACTTACATGTTGAGTGAGGTCCACAAAGAGATACCCCCAAGGGTCCCAGAAGGACCAGGGCAGCCTGACTTCAGTCCCCCCACTTAAAAGGAAAATGCAGCCCCACATGCAAATGTGCCTTCAGGCTCCAGGGTAAATCCCTCCTGGGCTGTAGGGCTCACAGCTCCCTCCTCACACAGGGCTGAGGACTCTGGGAAAGGCAGGGCCTTGGTCTCGAAGAAGATGAGCCTGCTGGGTCTCGTCCTGTGCCTGGTGACAGCCCCTCAAGGTGAGGGTCTCAGACGTCAGACAGGGGTCTATGGGGGGTTGTGACTGCACGTGACTAACAGGGACTTGTGCTCTTTGTCCCCAGGTGTCCTGTCTGAGGTGCAGCTGCAGGAGTCGGGCCCAGGACTGGTGAAGCCCTAGCAGATCCTCTCCCTCACCTGCACTGTCTCTGGGTTCTCCTTAACCAGCTATGGTGTGCACTGGGCCCGCCAGGCTCCAGGAAAAGGCCTGGAGTGGGTTGGAATCATATGGGGTGGTGGAAGCACAAACTATAACCCAACCCTGAAATCCAGACTCAGCATCACCAAGGAAAACTCCAAGAGCCAAGTTTATTTAACACTGAATAGCCTGATAGCCGAGGACATGGCCGTGTATTACTGTGCGAGGGACACAGTGAGGGGAAGTCAGTGTGAGCCAGACACAAAACTTCCAGAGGAAGTGGGGGGACTGAACTTCAGGGGACCCTCAGGGCACGAGGGGGCCCTCAGGAGACAGAGGTCAGAGCATCCAGCCCAGGAGCAGAAACAGGTGCAGGTGCAGCCCTGGGCCCTGTTGTCCTCTGGGGTTTCCTCTTCCTCTGACACTTGCTCCTGGATCTTCTTCAGAGTCACGACTTATAAAGTATTCAATCCTGACAAGGTCCCATTTTCCATAGAACCTCCACAGGCTCCCAGCCTGAGCCAGACGACCACAGCCACCCTCAGCCTTCCCCAGACTCACATCCATACCTCAGGACACTTATCTTCATCACCATCCCTCGAAAAGCAGACTCACAAAAGCCTGAACCCAGGTCCTAAATCCCCTCAAAACCATCTTCTGAAAAGTCCCCAATCCCATCTTTAAGTCAGGTATGGGTGGCAATTTGACGGGATTCATCCCATGAAAATATTCTCTCCACCTGAAGACCTGGGATACTAGACGGCAGCTTACCTCCTAAAGTACAGCCGAGAGGCAGGCCGAGGATAGTTAGAGACATTTCCAGTCCAAGGAGATCAATGGAGTTTAGGAAGAAATCACCATCCTGAGGCAATGCTGACATCCCCCTGAGCTTCCTCCCTCCACACAGGGCCTGGGATCAGCCTTCTGAGGCTCAGACCCCAACCCCGGGCCTGGGCTCTGCTCTCGGATCCCCCCTCCTGAAGGTGCAGGGGTTGGAGCAGAGCACGTCCCTCAGCCTGTCTGCTGCCTGTGGATTATTGAGTCTGAAGCCCCTTTCACTGTGATCTCTCTGTTACTCAGTAAAGCTCTTCTGACAGTCGCTAAATTGGAAAGGAGATTCTGTCCAAGGCTCTTGTAATAGGGTCGTAGCCACAGTAGAGACACAGGGCTCACCTGGATGCAGCAGAGACCCCTGGGCATTGACCGCCAAGGAGCAGCGGGAGGGGCCAGTGGATGGAAATAACTCAGAGGGGACGTCCTGTGAACAGCAGGGACCATAGTGCTCCTGCTGGAAGGGACCCGACAGGCAGCTGGATGAGAGGAAGGGTCCCTAAATTTCTGTGGGCCTTGGAGGGAAACATGCTCTCAGGACCCCTGGGTGCTCAGGATCCACGGAGCTCATTCCCCACCCTAGAAAGGGTGTTACTGTCATGTCTGTGTCCAGAGTTATCTCCATACTCTGAAAATATTCTTTATTATGCTTTTCTTGCATGCAGATGCTACAAAATAATTATCCAAATGCTATGGAAATGTAGAGCTGTCCTCTTTTTACAATAAACACTCTAAATGGTAATAACCGAACTTGCCAAAATACAGGCCATGGGATCAATTTCCCTCCAATCACCATGGCATTGACTGAATTTTAACTACAAAGGTCTCCATCTCATACATGAGTAATTCCTATTAAATTCACGCAATCACGCTGGTCATAGGTGTCCTGGCTTATATTTATTTCACTAATTATTTATTTCATTACTTTCTTTAAGGTGCTTCATTAGTATCCGCAGAGAGGACCCCTGTAAATGTCCTTCTGGTTGTTGGCAAAACAGAGGCCCGCATCAGCTCCATGAATCTCTGTAATTTCCTAGAGTCTCTGGATCCTCAGGAAAAAAAAGCATCTTCTCAACACTCAGGCTTGTTGGTCTCCTTGAAGGTCAGGGAGCCAGAGATACTCAAGGCCAAGGGCACCAACACACCACGTACATGGAGTCCCCTCTTACAAGACCTGGAGCCTGAGGTCTCTTTCCCAGGAAGGTGCTTGTCACCAGCCCTGAAGTCTGGATGACACCAGAAGACAGACTTTCATTCATGCTCTTGTTAAATACAGGGGTTTGGCACCCTCACTGAGCAGGTCCTGTTGTGCCTTGGAATTGGCTTATGGGAGCAGTTGTGGCCAGTGTGGGGGAGCACAGGCCAGATCCTGGGCTCAGTGATACCAGGTATGGTCTGTTAGGTTGAATGAAAACTTATGATTCTGTATTTAGATAATTAAATCTTTCATGGCCATCCCAAGGCCACAGGACACTCTCACTCGCACATGGGCACTGCCTTCTCTGTAGGTTAAACCCCAGGGTCCCTATATAGTAGGAAGCCATGCAAATAGGGCCCCTTCTGTTCATAAAAACCAGACCAGCCCCGACCCTGCAGCTCTGGGACAAGAGCCCAGCCCCGGGATGCCCAGCTGTTCTCATTCCCTGATCAGGACTGAACACGGACCACTCACCATGGGGCTTGGGCTCAGCTGGGTTTTCCTTGTTGCTATTTTCAGAGGTAATTTATGGAGAACAACAGACACTGAATGTGTGAGTGGCCATGAGTGAGAGAAACAGTGGAAGTGTGAGAGTTTCCTGACCAGGACGTCTTTGTGTTTGCAGGTGTCCAGGGTGAGGTGCAGCTGGTGGAGACTGGGGGAGCCGTGGTGAAGCCTGGGGGGTCTCTGAGACTCTCCTGTGCAGCCTCTGGATTCACCTTCAGTAGCTATGCCATGAGCTGGGTCCGCCAGGCTCCAGGGAAGGCACTGGAGTGGGTCTCAAGCATTAATCCTGATGGAGGTAGCACATCCTATGCAGACTCTGTGAAGGGCCGATTCACCATCTCCAGAGACAATGCCAAGAACACGCTGTATCTGCAAATGAACGGCCTGAAATCTGAGGAATCGGCCGTGTATTTCTGTGCAGCAGACACAGGGAGGGGACGTCAGTGTGAACCACACACAACCCTCCCTGCAGCCTCTGGAGACAGGGCTGAGCACCCAATCGGGGCACCAGGGGGCACTCAGGACCCGCAGGCTCTGTGCTGCACCCACAGGTCCAGGGGCAGGTGGTGTTTGTGGCTGATTTCTCCCAAGGTCCTGGTTCCTCTCCATGGGTCATTTCCTCCAAGAGTCTCTACACCTGTCTCTCTGTGCCTACCACTGATGGCTTTGTATTTTAATAGATTTACTCCATTGGTAGAAACATCTTTTCGTGTAAACAGACAGTGTATCTTATGGACAAAGAAAAATCCAGAGGTCTTGGGGAGCCCAGGAAACCGTCAGACACTATGGAAGTGTGTCCACAAGAGGAGGACCTTGTGTAAACCCCCTGCAGTTCCCGAAGGCCCCACAAATGCTTCGGAGGTGGCTGGACCCAGGACCTTCCTTCAGGTGACTCCTGTCTCCCAGCAGTGGCCCTGCCTTGGTGCCACAACCGGGCTCAGCCATAGTCTGGGGGTCGGGCACAGCTGTGTCCCCAGCACAAACCACAGTGGATGTCAGAGACCAGCAGCTGGCGCCCGTCCCTTGTGCTGCTGGAGCTGGAGGTGAGGGAGGTCCATTCTCCGGACTACAATACTTCNGTGTCCACAAGAGGAGGACCTTGTGTAAACCCCCTGCAGTTCCCGAAGGCCCCACAAATGCTTCGGAGGTGGCTGGAGCCAGGACCTTCCTTCAGGTGACTCCTGTCTCCCAGCAGTGGCCCTGCCTTGGTGCCACTGCCGAGCTCAGCCAAGGTCTGGGGGTCGGGCACAGCTGTGTCCCCAGCACAAACCACAGTGGATGTCAGAGACCAGCAGCTGGGGCCCGTCCCTTGTGCTGCTGGAGCTGGAGGTGAGGGAGGTCCATTCTCGGGACTAAGACACTTTATGAATTCTATACCAGGGAGCGTGTTCGAGTTCATTCTCTTGGATGGCATGTGATACAAACACGTGGTCTGCACACACCATTATTTCAGCACTTACTACACTCTCTGAAGGTCAACAGTTGTATTTCTCTGTCCCCTTAATAGGTGCTAATATAGAAGTTTGAATCTGACATTGCAGATTGGTACAAAGTCTAAAAAATAAATGAAGTATTCATCAAAAACTCTAAATGGAGGAAAGCTCGTGTCCAAATGGATTCAAGGGTGAATTCTACACACACTTCAGAGAAAATAAACTACCTCCTCAGACAGTCCCTCTTGACCACTTCCAAGAAATGCAGGAAGAGGGAAGGATTCCAAACTCATCGGCTCAGAGGGCACTTCAGAAGCTGGAGGAAGCAGGGAGGGTGTATTTCAAATGAGCAGAGTCCAATTCTCCCACCTGAGAGGGTGACTCTGGGTCTCAGTAAATCGTCTCAGATGATCACGGTCAGTCCGGCTCCAGGTCCCATTAGAGACCAAATCTCAGGTCACCAGAGATGGTTCCACCTCTGCTCTGTCTCCCTCTGCACAGCCTTCTGACAGCCTTGTTCCCACTGACCACCTGCAACCTCTGGACTTAATTCCCTCCGGTAGCTCTCTCAGGAGCCTCCCCTGTGTGTCTCTATCAGGCCCTTTTCTGTGATCACTTCTATTTGAGTGTATTTCATGTTAAATTTTCTAGGAGCCTAATCTAATTAATCATACTGGCTAAACTCTCAAGTAATTAACTTTGTAAAGTCCAATTTAATGCATTAATCTTCAGAGTGAGCCTGCAGCCCCAAGCAAGGAAGGCTGCTCTGCGGGGTCAGGGGTCAGAAGGTCAGAGCTCAGTGACCAGAAGTGGTCCATCCAATGTTTCTCTAATGTGTCCTGTGTCATCCCCCTTCATATCTGGGCTTCCAGAGGTTGGGACCAGAGACTGATCCAGCTTCTCTTTCCAGGACCTGAGTTGGAGATCTAGCAGGACACCCACATGTCAACATGGGTTCAACCATGGGCTCCCCTCCAGCCATTGAAAGGGAAGCCACCTAATTCAGGCCCCGCCTCCCAGGGAGAGGGAGAGGTCACTCCTGACCAGCAAGGACCCTGTTACTCGTGGGTGTGCTATTGCTACTTGCCTGTGTCTGTTATAACTACTCCCCAATAGGATGTTGTCTGATTCCTGACATGAGATCCCACAGAAGTGCTTCTCGGGCCCGTGAACCTGGGGGTTCTTGGGGGACAGGAGATGCACAAAAGGATCAGACCATGAGTCTTGTCATCCTGTGCCACTCAGATTCCCCGCATCACTCAGATTTCTTGTGTCCCTTGATAGTGGTCCAAAGCCCAACAGAGACTTCAGTTGTACCTCCCAGATCTCAGTGAACCTGACTCACCTTAGCTGACCTAGGACCACCTCACAGGTGATGCACAACCTTCTCCATTGTAGTAGGAGTCTGAAGCCACTGGTAAATACATACCTGAAGTGTAAGTAACACTGAAATACAGGGGCTCCTTGAGGCTCTTATTGCTCTCAAGGGGTCCTGTACCTTCCCTCAATTGGCTGGTCCTGCTCTGTCCAGAAGATGGTTTCTGGAAGCACTGGGGGCTACTGGGAAAGATCAGAGCCTTGATGCTGGGTCGCTGTTACTAGATGTGGTCTCATCAACAAACCTCAAATCTCTCTATAATTCTATGTATGGTGAGTGGAAAGCTCCCATGGCAAACAAATACCCTAGAACCCTCGGACCTTCACTGAGTTACTGACATATCTGTATGGTCACCCCAGAGCTCACTATATAGCAGGAGGATATGCAAATAGGGCTCCCTCTGCCCATAAAAACCAGCCCAGCCCAGACCCTGCAGCTCTGGGACAGGAGCCCAGCCCCGGGATCCCCAGCTGTTCTCATTCCCTGATCAGGACTGAACACAGACCACTCACCATGGGGCTTGGGCTCAGCTGGGTTTTCCTTGTTGCTATTTTAAGAGGTAATTTATGGAGAAAAAGAGACACTGAATGTGTGAGTGGACATGAGTGAGAGAAACAGTGGAAGTGTGAGAGTTTCCTGATCAGGACGTCTTTGTGTTTGCAGGTGTCCAGGGTGAGGTGCAGCTGGTGGAGTCCGGGGGAGGCGTGGTGAAGCCTGCGGGGTCTCTGGGACTCTCCTGTGCAGCCTCTGGATTCACCTTCAGTAGCTATAACATGGACTGGGTCCGCCAGGCTCCAGGGAAGGGGCTGGAGTGGGTGGCAGCAATAAGGTATGATGGAAGTGGCACATACTATCCAGACGCCGTGAAGGGCCGACTCACCATCTCCAGAGACAACGCCAAGAACATGGTGTATCTGCAAATGAACAGCCTGAAATCTGAGGACTCGGCCGTGTATTACTGTGCAGCAGGCACAGTGTGGGGAGGTCAGTGTGAGCCCAGACACAAACCTCCCTACAGAAGGGGCTGAGGCCACCAGGGTGCTCAGGGGCCCTGAGCACAAGAACCCTCCCAAGATCAGGTGCAGTGGGCGGTTTGGGCTGTTTCCTGGTTGGTTTCCTGTTCAGTCACAGTTTCCCTCAGGGAACCTCTCTGGATTCCTGATTCTGGGCTTTCCTCTGAGGTCTGTCATTTAGAAATGTATGCTGTAAATAGAGACGACTTTCTCACGTGGACAATAGGCAGAATGTTTCTTGCACGCACTCTTTTCCCCAAAAGAAATTAATAGTGAAATCTTCTGACCACCATCACCTAAATCTAACAGGAGCCTCTGCTGACTCCACAGATCAGCTCAGCCCCACACAGCTCAGGGTCCCAACTATCCAGCAGCAGGACACATGGGTTCAGGACAGCGGGCACCTGAGGGGTGTGAACAGAAAGCTAGAGAAGACCCAGGTAGTGACACTCATTGACCTGTCATCATGGTCACAGCACCAAGACTAGGTGACACCAGGCAAAGGGAGAGGGACCCAGGATGACATGGTGCAAATGTCTAGGTTTAGGGCAAACACACAACCAAGGGATTGGGATGTTTATCACGTACAGAGTTGAAATCTCTGTGAAGCCCAGGAAAGACCCTTTAGCAAGTCAGAGGGGTTCTCATGGAACCAGAAGAGAAGACTGGCTCAGGGCTTTAATCTTGGCGAGGTGGTGGGGAGGGAGGAATTCTGCTCCCAGGGGCTGGTGTGGTTTCAATCTCCCGAGGACATCTACAGAGGAGACCCCACCTTTCTGATCAGATTCCCGTGTTGAGCAGACAAAGAAGAGGTACGAATGAGCCATCAGTTGTCAGCAGTTACAGGAGAAGGAAAATAGAGTCTGGCTACAAATTTCTGTAAACAATTACAAAAAATGAGCAGAAATACAGATAATGGCTCATGTGTGTACAAAAGACGGTCTACAGAAAATAAGAAACATGATAATAAATAAGCAAATGATTATGATGGTGATGATGCTGATGATGCTGATGATGATCATGATGCTGCTGATGATGATCATGAGCTGAGGCAGGCGCCTGGTCAATGAAATGAAGGCCCCTCTTACAGGCACACCATCACCACGCCTCCTCAAGGGAAGGCTGTAACCTCTTCCCTCTAAGGGTTCAGAGTTTCATAAATAGTACCCCAATGAATTATGCAGCTGAGTGACCCATGGAGAGACCATGTGAGTAATGACCTCAATGTGACCAAGTGCTGATCCCCTGGACCTGTGGAGTTGTCACCTTATAGACAGACACACTGTGGGGATGTGCCTGTAGGTAACAGGGGATCCCCTTCCCACCAGTTTGCAATGACATGTTCCTTATATCTCTGAATCCCTGCCTGCAGCATCGGTAATGTCTCTATTTCTAAGCAGTTCCTGTTCACAATTACTCAGGGATTTCCTTTGATGATATAAGCTGTCTCCATCTTGCCCTGGGCTTCCTTTTGGGTATTCAATGGAACTGGTTGTAAACCCATATGTCCAGTAACAGTCTGTCCCTGAGAATTCTCCATAAGTCTATCTTGTGACTCCAAACAAGTCCAGCATCCTCCCATCCCCCAGAGCCAAAGTCACATTCAGATCTGTGGGTAGTTTCCAAGCAGCCTCCATTCTGAGAGGATTGAGCTAAAGGAGGGGCTCAGGACATCCAGAGGGAGCTCAGCACCCACAAACTCTGTGATTCAGGAGCAGCTCCAGGTTATGTTCCTTGCTGATTCTTGTCAGAGCTCTGGGCTTCCTCTCCTTACAACAGTCTCTCCAAGGGTCTCTCCAGACCTATAACTCTCTGGCTACCACTGATGGCTCTGCATTTTAGCAGTTTTACTCTAGTGGTACCAACATTCTCACATGACCACAGACGACATTTCCAGTTTGTAGGCAGAGAAATGCAGAAGACGGGGTGAAAGTGAACCTGACACTCAACAGCTCCCAGAACCAAGTGGAAATTACAACTAAATTGGTGATCAATCTCCGTGAATTACCACCTACAAACTCTCTGAAGAGGAGGCTTTTAACCAACAACAGATAGAAAAATCCACTTCCACACTGGGAGGAAGGGCTGACAGGTGAAAGGGCTGATCCTACTCCCACAGAGGGCAACCCAAGGTTACCGAGGGATATCTCAGCACAGAGGATCCTCCGAGAGGTCCAAAGTCAAGACCCAAAAAAAGGCCACAGCCTAGAGCACCAGAGCTGTGCTTAGGTGCCCACATAACATCCAGGTGTGAAATGTTGTGGGGTGTCTTTCGGTCAGCAGACTGAAGGGTCTCAAGTTGGCTTCCTGGTTAAGGACTCGTACCAAGGTTACACGCTCCATTCCCATTCCAAGGCATGTGTGGGAGGCAAACAATTGCTGTGCCTCTTTCACATCAATTTTTTTAACTCTCTCCCTCTCTCACTTCCACTATCTCTGAAAGGCAATGGAGAAAATAACTTCAGGTGAGGATTTAAAGAAAAGAAAAAGAAAACACTGGAAGCAATAAAAAGTAGGTTGGATGCAGCAGAGGATTGAAGCAGGAATTTGGATGAAAAGGTAGAAAAAAAACAATATCACAGAAGCAAACAGATAAAAGTTTTCAAAATAACGAAGATTGTTAACGTGAATTTGGGAAACTTGAAATAAAACAACATCCGCATCATAGGCATCCCAACAGGAGAAGACACAGAGCAAGTGATCCAGAACCTATGTGATGAAATAAGGGCCTAAAACTTCACTAATCAGGTGAAGGGGAAAGACACACAGTCCAGGAGGCTCGCAGGGTCCCAAACACGATANAGACACACAGTCCAGGAGGCTCACAGGGTCCCAAACAAGATGAACACTAATAGGTTCACACATGGACACCTCAGAATTATAATGACAAGGGTCAATGACAAAGACAGAATTTTACATGCAGCAAGAGAAAAGCAGTTAATTACCTACAAGGCAACATCCATAAGGCTGTCAGTAGATCTCTCAAGAGAAACATTCAAGGGCAGAAGAGACTGGCACGAAATATGGAAAGTTATTGCATTTATCTTGACCTAGACACACCTGCTCATGACGGAGCTACTTCTACATCCCCAAGTTAGGAAACTGGTTTCCATCAGGGTCTAGAGGAGAAACACAGCACATGAGGCAGTGCAGCTGCTACACAGTCAGCACCAATGCCCTGAAGGTCATGTCCCGGGGACTCTGCCTGTGTCTCTATGGTTCATGCTTCTGTGTCCCAGGGGCCCACACAGACCCTCCACTCTCCCCAGCACCTGATCACCTGCTCTGGGTTCACACTCTGGTCTTAATTCATCCTCTGAACACTTTGTAGGGAAATAGTGTCAGGTGCAGTTTCCTGTCCCCTGAACATGAGCCTCCTGCACTTTTCATTCTTCCTCTGGGTTTGAGGGATGATTTCTCTTCTTTGTCATTACTAGAGACTCTAAAAGCCATCCCTCATTTTCACACCTCTCTTTTACTTTAATGGCATTTTCTCTCCCGATTGTTTTTACAGGTCTCTTGGAGGCTTTGAGGTCAGTGAGGAGGTCAGAGGACAGGACATCAGGAGTAATTTTTACAGACATGCACAAAAGGACATGTCACAGACTAGGATGTGTCCTTAATGTCAGGGTCCAACCACAGAGCTGCCTTTATAGCAGAAGGACATGCAAATAGGGCCCCCTCTGCTCATAAAAACCAGCCCAGCCCCAACCCTGCAGCTCTGGGACAGGAGCCCAGCCCCAGGATCCCAGCTGTTCTTATTCCCTGATCAGGACTGAACACAGACCACTCAACATGGGGCTTGGGCTCAGCTGGGTTTTCCTTCTTGCTTTTTTAAGAGGTAATTTATGGGGGACAAGAGACATCGAGTGTGTGAGTGGACATGAGTGAGAGAAACAGTGGACGTGTGAGAGTTTCCTGACCAGGATGTCTTTGTGTTTGCAGGTGTCCAGAGTGAGGTGCAGCTGGTGGAGTCTGGGGGAGCCGTGGTGAAGCCTGGGGGGTCTCTGAGACTCTTCTGTGCAGCCTCTGGATTCACCTTCAGTAGCTACTACATGCACTGGGTTCGCCAGGCTGCAGGGAAGGGGCTGGAGTGGGTGGCAACAGTGAGTAGCCCAACTGGAAAAAATCAGTAGTATCAGCCAAGGAAGATTCACAGTCTCCAGGGACAACCCTACAAGCACAATCTGTTTTAAAATGAACAGCCTGAGACCCGAGGACTTAGCAGTGTATTTCTTTGCAGCAGACACAGGGAGGGGAGGTCAGTGTAAACCACACACAACCCTCCCNCAGGTGCAGTTTCCCGTCCCCTGAACATGAGCCTCCTGCACTTTTCATTCTTCCTCTGGGTTTGAGGGATGATTTCTCTTCTTTGTCATTACTAGAGACTCTAAAAGCCATCCCTCATTTTCACACCTCTCTTTTTCTTTAATGGCATTTTCTCTCCCGATTGTTTTTACAGGTCTCTTGGAGGCTTTGAGGTCAGTGAGGAGGTCAGAGGACAGGACATCAGGAGTAATTTTTACAGACATGCACAAAAGGACATGTCACAGACTAGGATGTGTCCTTAATGTCAGGGTCCAACCACAGAGCTGCCTTTAAAGCAGAAGGAAATGCAAATAGGGCCCCCTCTGCTCATAAAAACCAGACCAACCCCGACCCTGCAGCTCTGGGACAGGAGCCCAGACCCGGGATCCCCAGCTGTTCTCATTCCCTGATCAGGACTGAACACAGACCACTCACCATGGGGCTTGGGCTCAGCTGGGTTTTCCTTCTTGCTTTTTTAAGAGGTAATTTATGGGGGACAAGAGACATCGAGTGTGTGAGTGCACATGAGTGAGAGAAACAGTGGACGTGTGAGAGTTTCCTGACCAGGATGTCTTTGTGTTTGCAGGTGTCCAGAGTGAGGTGCAGCTGGTGGAGTGTGGGGGAGCCGTGGTGAAGCCTGGGGGGTCTCTGAGACTCTTCTGTGCAGCCTCTGGATTCACCTTCAGTAGCTACTACATGCACTGGGTTCGCCAGGCTGCAGGGAAGGGGCTGGAGTGGGTGGCAACAGTGAGTAGCCCAACTGGAAAAAATCAGTAGTATCAGCCAAGGAAGATTCACAGTCTCCAGGGACAACCCTACAAGCACAATCTGTTTTAAAATGAACAGCCTGAGACCCGAGGACTTAGCAGTGTATTTCTTTGCAGCAGACACAGGGAGGGGAGGTCAGTGTAAACCACACACAACCCTCCCTGCAGCCTCTGGAGACAGGGCTGAGAACCCAATCGGGGCACCAGGGGGCCCTCAGGACCAGCAGGCTCTGTGCTGCATCCACAGGACCAGGGTCAGGTGGTGTCTGTGGCTCATTTCCCCCAAGGTCCCGGTTCCTCTCCATAGGATATTTCCTCCAAGAGTCTCTACACCTGTCTCTCTGTGGCTACCACTGATGGCTTTGTTTTTTAATAGATTTACTCCACTGGAAGAAACATTTTTTTCTGTAAAC